TGTAAAATTGTCCATGATAGGACATGCTTTTTAACACCATCAGTGTGCAATGTTAAACATTGAAGGTGAAAATTTAGTTTTGATGTCAAAACACCCCCAGGTAAAACATAGCTGGAACCTTTTAATTATTTATAGCCGTCTCATTCACCTGAGGTCAAAGTTCAAGGCACAGTGGACACAGGTGACCACTGTAAATAATGGGACAGAAAACATCTGCTCCAGAAGGAAAGTGACAAATAACACATTTACAACACAGTGTTACAATACAAATGTAAAAGGAATGTAAACCTTTGAGCATAATGTTACATAATTTATTTTTCCATAGGTTCTTGTCCTTTTCTATTGAATTGGAAAATCAGAAAAGTTACCTCAGGATGAATGTTTTACAATTCTAAGGTATTCTAGCATATATTCTGTACTAGTTCTTTTAAACTACCTTTACCTTTATTTCAGAGTTATAAGGTGTAATTTTTTTATTCTACAAAATAATTATTCATATTGCGATTAATAAGTTTGCCTACCTGTATGAACACTTGTGAGAGGTCTGTGGATGTTACAACCACAAGCTATTTCCCCAATATTTTTATAGTGGATATTCTAGAAAATGTGAAACACCCAATTTAATGAATACGGCACTGGGTACAGTTAAAAGTGGCCCACCTTTATACAGACACATTTTCCTTAAAAAAAACTACCAAACCCCCCAGATTTTGACTATTTTCCCATCCCTGCAGAAAAATGACTTAAGTGTCTTGATGCCACTGTTAGGTTGAAACCCCCATTGATAAAGAGGTATATCATTCTCATATATTACAGCAACTAATTTTCCATTGAAGCTTTGCTTTCTTTTAATAATAATATACTTGTAACCATTTTGGTGGCTTAAGTTAACCACAGGAACTTGAATTTCTATCAGAATGGTCTATTTAAGCTCAGAGAACTGATTAAGCCCAATATATACCCCCCTTACCATATGATTAGTATCCGGTGTAGTATGGTAATATGAAGGCCATGGTGAAATGAAGGGTTCCAACTATTTCTATTCTGACAACTTTTTTTCCACTCTTTTTTTTAAAGTTTACTTCAATTTGATTTATTCTATCTGAAATGACAAAAATCAAGTTGGGGTAGAGAAAATCAGGGTGGGGCAGGGGTGCCTCACTTTACCATAATGGTGAAATGAAGGGTTTTAACATTTTTGATTTATTTGTCTTTTTTAAACCAAATCTGTTTTACTTTACCTCAGTTTGATGTCCTGAATATGAAAATCACAGAAATTAGGTTTGGGGTAGAGATATTTAGGGTGGGGCAGGGGCCCTTCACTTTCGCCATAGGATAAGAATCCGGTAACTAAAACTGGCCATAGGATCAGTATCCAGATACTAAAACATAGGATTAGTATCCGGTAACTAAAACTGACCATAGGATCAGTATCCGGTAACTAAAACTGACCATAGGATCAGTATCCGGTAACTAAAACTGGCCATAGGATCAGTATCCGGTAACTAAAACTGGCCATAGGATCAGTATCCGGTAACTAAAACTGGCCATAGGATCAGTATCCGGATACTAAAACTGGCCATAGGATCAGTATCCGGATACTAAAAATGGCCACAAACATACATGCAGTTTGATTGCTTATTAACATTTATATATATAGGTGTTTAATGTGTTCAACTTTTTACTTGGTGAGTCTTTCACCCGCAATGAGTGTACATCAAAGACAATGGGGAAGGGGGACTGTCATGAGGTATCAACACGACCAGTAGACAGGCCAGGGAAGGGGGACTGTCATGAGGTATCAACACGACCAGTAGACATGCCAGGGAAGGGGAACTGTCATGAGGTATCAACACGATCAGTAGACAGGCCAGGGAAGGGGGACTGTCATGAGGTATCAACACCCTCGATCAGTAGACAGGCCAGGGAAGGGGGACTGTCATGGGGTATCAACACATCAGTAGACAGGCCAGGGAAGGGGGACTGTCATGGGGTATCAACACCCTCGATCAGTAGACAGGCCAGGGAAGGGGGACTGTCATGGGGTATCAACACCCTCGATCAGTAGACAGGCCAGGGAAGGGGGACTGTCATGGGGTATCAACACCCTCGATCAGTAGACAGGCCAGGGAAGGGGGACTGTCATGGGGTATCAACACCCTCGATCAGTAGACAGGCCAGGGAAGGGGGACTGTCATGGGGTATCAACACCCTCGATCAGTAGACAGGCCAGGGAAGGGGGACTGTCATGGGGTATCAACACCCTCGATCAGTAGACAGGCCAGGGAAGGGGGACTGTCATGGGGTATCAACACCCTCGATCAGTAGACAGGCCAGGGAAGGGGGACTGTCATGGGGTATCAACACCCTCGATCAGTAGACAGGCCAGGGAAGGGGGACTGTCATGGGGTATCAACACCCTCGATCAGTAGACAGGCCAGGGAAGGGGGACTGTCATGGGGTATCAACACCCTCGATCAGTAGACAGGCCAGGGAAGGGGGACTGTCATGGGGTATCAACACCCTCGATCAGTAGACAGGCCAGGGAAGGGGGACTGTCATGGGGTATCAACACCCTCGATCAGTAGACAGGCCAGGGAAGGGGGACTGTCATGGGGTATCAACACCCTCGATCAGTAGACAGGCCAGGGAAGGGGGACTGTCATGGGGTATCAACACCCTCGATCAGTAGACAGGCCAGGGAAGGGGGACTGTCATGGGGTATCAACACCCTCGATCAGTAGACAGGCCAGGGAAGGGGGACTGTCATGGGGTATCAACACCCTCGATCAGTAGACAGGCCAGGGAAGGGGGACTGTCATGGGGTATCAACACCCTCGATCAGTAGACAGGCCAGGGAAGGGGGACTGTCATGGGGTATCAACACCCTCGATCAGTAGACAGGCCAGGGAAGGGGGACTGTCATGGGGTATCAACACCCTCGATCAGTAGACAGGCCAGGGAAGGGGGACTGTCATGGGGTATCAACACCCTCGATCAGTAGACAGGCCAGGGAAGGGGGACTGTCATGGGGTATCAACACCCTCGATCAGTAGACAGGCCAGGGAAGGGGGACTGTCATGGGGTATCAACACCCTCGATCAGTAGACAGGCCAGGGAAGGGGGACTGTCATGGGGTATCAACACCCTCGATCAGTAGACAGGCCAGGGAAGGGGGACTGTCATGAGGTATCAACACCCTCGATCAGTAGACAGGCCAGGGAAGGGGGACTGTCATGGGGTATCAACACCCTCGATCAGTAGACAGGCCAGGGAAGGGGGACTGTCATGAGGTATCAACACCCTCGATCAGTAGACAGGCCAGGGGGACATTGCTATATCGGGATGATTTGTGTTGTGACAAATTAATCAGTTTTTGGTAATGATATTTATCCTTTAGCTTTATTCATGCTAAGTAAGTATAGACCTTAGTAAACTTTTAAGCTTAACAATGTAAGAATAATAGCAGGTGAGCGATGCAGGTACTTTGGGCCTCTTGTTTGATTTTTTATCACTTGTAAAACTTTCCAAATGGCTAAAATAGTTAGTTTTGATCCCATAAACTTGGAAATGAGATTGAACTGTCAAATTAAACTGTCTTTACTTTTTAATCAGTCTCAATAATTGATATGCATAACTAAGGACCAAGGGGAATCTTGAAATCATATGAAATTTGAGAAAGATCCCTCTAGCACTTTCAGAGAAATAGCGCCAACAAATGGAAACTCTCAAAATTTTATATGCATAACTAGGGACAATTTGGAATCTTCCTGTGAAATTTGGGAAAGGATCCCTCTTCTTCTTTCTGAAAAACAGCACTAACAATCCTTAACTCTCAAAATTCAAGATGTCCCCCTGTCAGCCATGTTGGTTTTTGATCAGTCCAAAAATAAGCACTATTTCTCAGAACGTACCAGAGGGATATGTAGATACGTACCAGAGGGATATTTAGGTACGTACCAGAGGGATATTTAGGTACCTACCAGAGGGATATGTAGGTACGTACCAGAGGGATATGTAGGTACCTACCAGAGGGATATTTAGGTACCTACCAGAGGGATATGTAGGTACGTACCAGAGGGATATGTGGGTACCTACCAGAGGGATATTTAGGTACGTACCAGAGGGATATGTAGGTACCTACCAGAGGGATATTTAGGTACCTACCAGAGGGATATGTAGGTACCTACCAGAGGGATATGTAGGTACCTACCAGAGGGATATGTAGGTACCTACCAGAGGGATATGTAGGTACCTACCAGAGGGATATGTAGGTACCTACCAGAGGGATATGTAGGTACCTACCAGAGGGATATGTAGGTACCTACCAGAGGGATATGTAGGTACCTACCAGAGGGATATGTAGGTACCTACCAGAGGGATATGTAGGTACCTACCAGAGGGATATGTAGGTACCTACCAGAGGGATATGTAGGTACCTACCAGAGGGATATGTAGGTACCTACCAGAGGGATATGTAGGTACCTACCAGAGGGATATGTAGGTACCTACCAGAGGGATATGTAGGTACCTACCAGAGGGATATGTAGGTACGTACCAGAGGGATATGTAGGTACCTACCAGAGGGATATGTAGGTTCCTACCAGAGGGATATGTAGGTACCTACCAGAGGGATATGTAGGTCCCCCTTTGTTCTTAGTGTTACATGTTAACTTTTGAAACTGATCAGATGAACAAGATGGCTATCAGGAAAAACTAATCAAATGGAAAAGGACAAAATAGAGAAAAGATCGAACTGACATATATAATGAAGATGGTATGATGGTGGTTGCCAAGATGCCTCTGGGATCTCTTGTTTGTTTTTTCCATTCATTTGTATGTGTTCATTATTGAAAGTAAATGCCTCATCTATCCTGATTTATTTCATGGTTCAATGACTTACAAGAAGGTTGGACTGTATTATGAAAATATAGGGTTGATATCAAGTTCAGCCTCCATGTTGAGATTGACAAGAAACAGATAAAAAACTTGAACAAACCTTTTTTTTGCAAAAGAAAGGACCTTTAATTGTGTTTTCAAATACATGCAAGTTTCAAATCAATAATTCAGCATCACCAAAATATTTTTCTTTTGAAGAAACAAAGAGGTATCTCAAAATAAAATTTCATTCCTGCACTGTTCCTAAAACATATTACTCTTTCCTGGACAAAACTTTTTCTATTCTTGATGTTCAATAATAATACTCAGTCACTTTCAAATAAACCAAAACCTGATAATCGAGCAAGACTTCTATTCGTCCAACTTTGGTTCTTCGTTGATATTCTGAAGGTACTACAAAGCAGGATGTGCCAAAGTCACTGTCAGAAACACAAAGATAGACTTTTCTATAAGTATTGTCCATTGATTGACTCTGAAGTGTGTTCCCTTCTTGTGCTGTCTGGCAGAATAGCTCCTTAAGGAACACCTGGCGGAATCTCACCTGGATGCCTACACCTGATCACACATGGCACGTTACCTGAAAGAAATCAACATATCGTAACTACATGTAACTAGGTCATTCTGTTCTAGACTTTTAATGTTTAAAATCTTCGCTCTCCTTTTTTAATCAATCAAATAGATGACATTTGACAACATCAACTGAGGTATATATATATCAGCAACTTTAATCTATTAGACTAGCATGTATCCACCCACTAATTTTTACCCTCATTTGTTTTTGTTTAGAAGAAAGCAAAACTACAGGGAAATATTTTTTGAATGCACTTTAAATGTAAAGGCTGGAGTATTTTATGGATATTGTAGCTTACTTCATTTTTTATTTCACCTTTCATTGGTACTCAGCATCTTCCTGATTTTGCACAAATTCTGAAAATATAGAACAGTATATTTAAAATAAAAGAATATTTCATGAATAATGTCTAGTCTATTACAAGCACAGACAGCTTTTCAATAGTAGAGTTTTGAAGCCATATTCACTTTAATTATAGCGCCCCTCTCCCTATAAAGGTGCTTCACTTCCCCCTATAAGGGTGCCTACCCTTGCCCTATAAGGGTGCTTCACCTCCCCCTATATGGGTGCCTCGCCTCCCCCTATAAGGGTGCCTCCCCTCCCCCTATAAGGGTGCCACCCCTCCACCTTTTTGGGAGGAAATGAAATTATAATAGACCCTCTTCCCTTCACTTTCATGACCTGATCCAGTCAATGATTTACAGGATTAACTCATTCACCCCTGAAATTTCATAATGAACTATGCCAACCTTTGAACTGGAAGATTCTAAATGCGTCTTTAGGAGTGAAAGTTCAAAGCAGAGATTAGAGTCTGGTGATCATAGCTGAAATTCTCATGAAGCCATGAAACATTTGATTTACAAACCTACAGCCACAGCGGAATGTTATAATGTCCTTCTGTTATACTGTAGGGGGTAGGAATGTTATAATGTCCTTCTGTTATACTGTAGGAGGTACAGAATGTTATAATGTCCTTCGAATTCTGTTATAATGTAGGGGGTAGGAATGTTATAATGTCCTTTTGTTATACTGTAGGAGGTAGGAATGTTATAATGTCCTTTTGTTATACTGTAGGGGGTAGGAATGTTATAATGTCCTTCAGTTATACTGTAGGGGGTAGGAATGTTATAATGTCCTTCTTTTATACTGTAGGGGGTAGGAATGTTATAATGTCCTTCTGTTATACTGTAGGAGGGAAGAATGTTATAATGTCCTTCAGTTATACTGTAGGGGGTTGGAATGTTATAATGTCCTTTTGTTATACTGTAGGAGGTACTGAATGTTATAATGTCCTTCGAATTCTGTTATAATGTAGGGGGTAGGAATGTTTTAATGTCCTTCAGTTATACTGTAGGGGGTTGGAATGTTATAATGTCCTTCTTTTATACTGTAGGAATGTTAAAATGTCCTTCTGTTATACTGTAGGAGGTAGGAATGTTATAATGTCCTCCTTCTGTTATACTGTAGGAGGTAGGAATGTTATTATGTCCTTCTGTAATACTGTAGGAATGTTATAATGTCCTCCTTCTGTAATACTGTAGGAATGTTATAATGTCCTCCTTCTGTTATACTGTAGGAGGTACTGAATGTTATAATGTCCTTCTGTTATACTGTAGGAATGTTATAATGTCCTTCTGTTATACAGTAGGGGGTAGGAATGTTATAATGTCCTTCTGTAATGCTGTAGGGGGTAGGAATGTTATAATGTCCTTCTGTTATACAGTAGGGGGGAGGAGTGTTATAATGTCCTTCTGTTATACTGTAGGAGGTAAGAATGTTATAATGTCCTTCTGTTATACTGTAGGAGGTAAGAATGTTATAATGTCCTTCTGTTATACTGTAGGAGGTAAGAATGTTATAATGTCCTTCTGTTATACTGTAGGAGGTAAGAATGTTATAATGTCCTTCTGTTATACTGTAGGGGTCAGGAATGTTATAATGTCCTTCTGTTATACTGTAAGAGGTAGGAATGTTATAATGTCCTTCTGTTATACTGTACGAGGTAGGAATATTATAATTTCTGTTATATTGTAGGAATGTTATAATGTCCTTCTGTTATACTGTAGGGGTCAGGAATGTTATAATGTCCTTCTGTTATACTGTAGGAGGTAGGAATATTATAATTTCTGTTATACTGTAGGAATGTTATAATGTCCTTCTGTTATACTGTAGGGGGTAGGAATGTTATAATGTCCTTCTGTTATACTGTAGGGGGTAGGATTGTTATAATGTCCTTCTATTATACTGTAGGAGGAACGGAATGTTATAATGTCCTTCCGTTATACTGTAGGGGGTAGGAATGTTATAATGTCCTTCTGTAATGCTGTAGGGGGTAGGAATGTTATAATGTCCTTCTGTTATACTGTAGGAGGTAGGAATGTTATAATGTCCTTCTGTAATGCTGTAGGGGGGAGGAATGTTATAATGTCCTTCTGTTATGCTGTAGGAATGTTATAATGTCCTTCTGTTATACTGTAGGAATGTTGTTATGTCCTTCTGTTATACTGTAGGAGGTAGGAATGTTATAATGTCCTTCTGTTATACTGTAGGAGGTACGGTTGGAGGGACACAACTTGTTCCATCTGAATGTTAATACTTTTTCATGACCCTCGATCTTTCTATATATTTTTATTCTAGTTTATTCAGTTTATTTAGCCCCTACAGGGACAACAAGCAGCTTGAATGTGGGGGGTATTAGTTAGCCTGTAGGCGACAGTTCTAGTTTGTTCTAAAACTGCTGTTCAGCTCAAGGTTTTGTGCGATAAATTGGTGATGAGTCATGTTTTGTTGAGGATATAATATACATAAAAAGAACATTGTATGTGTGTAATGAAAGTAATATGTTGAATATGGGTTCATTTGACAGCTCAAGTTATTGGGGAAATGGTGTTCTGAATGACTGAGTATCGTGCATGGCCGAAGGGATGAAAAGTTACTGTGGAGTTTAAAACAGCATTTATTTGGTATGGTTATGTGTCGCTGTATCAATTTGAGGTAACTTGATCACATGTGAAGTGACAGATTTTGTCGCAAGATCAACGTGTCCCATACAAACCTGGATTCCTCAATCTTTCAATATATTGGTCCCGATAGAGATCCTTGAGAGGTACTGTCTCCTTGGTTTTCTCAGTTTTCATTTCAGCTTTAGCTTTTTCAATGGCAACCTCAACTGGTAGGCCAATCCATTCGGCTTCTTCCAGCTAAAACAAACCAAACAGTCTATAGTGTTTTACAAGGTGTTTGTAGCCTTACTCTGGCATACAGTTAGAGACAGAATCCCTTACTGATATCCCTTACTCAAATATGTGTCCAAAAGAATGCTGTATAACAGGTCATTTTCACTGTAGTGAAATTCCCCTTTCATGGCCCTCTGTAATGAAGACAAATTTATCAATTGTGCGAATTTAAGTAACCAAAATAATAGACATAGCAATCAAATAGCACTGGACGAATATGGATTTTACCAGCATAGGGCGAAAATTACTGTTTAAAAGTACATATTTTGTCAAATCCAAAAAAAACTCACTGTGTTTCATGGATCCCGAAATACCACCCTAGACATTTTATCACCTACTTATATCTAAGATAAATTTATTAGTCAGGTAAAAGTCACAGCCACTCATAAATGTGATTTCTACCTGTTCCCCTGTTATTGACAAATCAATGGCCATTGTAATGTGTGGGAATGCTTTGTGAAATTTGATATAAAGCATAAATTTGATTCATGAAAATAAAAAATATAAACAATTTCCTTATCAACCTACCCTATATTTTCAGCCATGTCCATAACCTGAAACACACATTTTTTTTTGGTCTAAACAAAATTAACTAGCTCAATAGAAATTAGAGACACAATCAATTTCATTTATTCTCCTGGTAATTAAACCATATTTCTTTGCTAAATTGTCATCCTTGCTTTTCTCGGACTATCAAAATTGTATTTGGACATTCCTCAAATGAAGGATGATACTATGTCAAATATGCTGGCTTGTTCAATGGCCAGAATGGTAAAAATAACACATTTTGAAGTAACAATTTTCAAAATATTGATGTCATTTCAGTTTCTACAGACCTAATTTGCCATAAAATGTGTTTCTTAATGATTTTATCATTATAGTGGTCAGCTGTCACCTAGCTGAATTCAAATTTACAGAGATTTTTCAGCAAGTTGCATTTAATTTGTCTGGGAAAGAAATGAAGTAAAGGTCTGTCAGTCAACCCCGTAGTAAATGTTTGTTACACACATAATAAAACCTGTGATCTACAGATCTACAACTTTAAAACAAGTTCTATCATGACATAAATGCCAGTACTAATTATAATAGAACAGGCTCAGTTCTATGATGGATTTTCAAACCCCACTCTGCTTAAAGCTCTCACCTAGACAAATTTCAAAACGATTTTTTATTTACAACACATGAAAAATCTCACTTTTAATACATAGCTTGTGCAATTGTTATTTCCTTTCAAGACAAGCTGATTTGATTGTTACAAATTTTGATATTAATGAAAACATTATAAAAAGAAATTGATCTTGACCTTGTCAAACTAACAGTGCTTTACCCCTGTTTCTCAAAGCGAGCCCCTGAAGTGATCACACAGGCATAGGGATCAGTAAAAGGATCTGTCAAACCCCTTTGATCTAACATTTATGTACTTATTGTAAAATGTGTAAAATGAAAGTAGGGTACCACAGCATATGGTGAAGTAATTGGTCTTTTTTCCTCCACTTTGATATCTAAGTGGCTTCATGAACTATACAGGGGGTAACCATTACTGCACCAAAACCCTGTGGAGCTATCACCTAGGTCTTTCCATCTGTCCCCTCCTAAGATCATCCTGACCCCTGACACACAGCCCCTATGGGTCAATCTTTACCCTCATGCAATTATAGCCTCATAATCTGTATCAATGTAGTGTACCTCAGGTTAATACTATCATAGTAGTGTACCGTTGTATGTCAGGATAATACTATCAAAGTAGTGTACCTCAGGTTAATACTATCAGAGTAGTGTACCGTTGTATGTCAGGATAATACTATCAAAGTAGTGTACCGCAGGTTAATACTATCAGAGTAGTGTACCGTTGTATGTCAGGATAATACTATCAAAGTAGTGTACCGTTGTATGTCAGGATAATACTATCAAAGTAGTGTACCGTTGTATGTCAGGATAATACTATCATAGTAGTGTACCGTTGTATGTCAGGATAATACTATCATAGTAGTGTACCGTTGTATGTCAGGATAATACTATCATAGTAGTGTACCGTTGTATGTCAGGATAATACTATCATAGTAGTGTACCGTTGTATGTCAGGATAATACTATCATAGTAGTGTACCGTTGTATGTCAGGATAATACTATCATAGTAGTGTACCGTTGTATGTCAGGATAATACTATCATAGTAGTGTACCGTTGTATGTCAGGATAATACTATCATAGTAGTGTACCGTTGTATGTCAGGATAATACTATCATAGTAGTGTACCGTTGTATGTCAGGATAATACTATCATAGTAGTGTACCGTTGTATGTCAGGATAATACTATCATAGTAGTGTACCGTTGTATGTCAGGATAATACTATCATAGTAGTGTACCGTTGTATGTCAGGATAATACTATCATAGTAGTGTATGTCAGGATAATACTATCAGAGTAGTGTACCGTTGTATGTCAGGATAATACTATCATAGTAGTGTACCGTTGTATGTCAGGATAATACTATCATAGTAGTGTACCGTTGTATGTCAGGATAATACTATCATAGTAGTGTACCGTTGTATGTCAGGATAATACTATCATAGTAGTGTACCGTTGTATGTCAGGATAATACTATCATAGTAGTGTACCGTTGTATGTCAGGATAATACTATCATAGTAGTGTACCGTTGTATGTCAGGATAATACTATCATAGTAGTGTACCGTTGTATGTCAGGATAATACTATCATAGTAGTGTACCGTTGTATGTCAGGATAATACTATCATAGTAGTGTACCGTTGTATGTCAGGATAATACTATCATAGTAGTGTACCGTTGTATGTCAGGATAATACTATCATAGTAGTGTATGTCAGGATAATACTATCAGAGTAGTGTACCGTTGTATGTCAGGATAATACTATCATAGTAGTGTACCGTTGTATGTCAGGATAATACTATCATAGTAGTGTACCGTTGTATGTCAGGATAATACTATCATAGTAGTGTACCGTTGTATGTCAGGATAATACTATCATAGTAGTGTACCGTTGTATGTCAGGATAATACTATCATAGTAGTGTACCGTTGTATGTCAGGATAATACTATCATAGTAGTGTACCGTTGTATGTCAGGATAATACTATCATAGTAGTGTATGTCAGGATAATACTATCATAGTAGTGTACCGTTGTATGTCAGGATAATACTATCATAGTAGTGTACCGTTGTATGTCAGGATAATACTATCATAGTAGTGTACCGTTGTATGTCAGGATAATACTATCATAGTAGTGTATGTCAGGATAATACTATCATAGTAGTGTACTGTTGTATGTCAGGATAATACTATCAAAGTAGTGTACCATTGTATGTCAGGATAATACTATCAAAGTAGTGTATGTCAGGATAATCCTATCAAAGTAGTGTACCGTTGTATGTCAGGATAATACTATCAAAGTAGTGTACCGTTGTATTGGGAGGAAAAAATTGTTTCTCAGCCAGCCCATGATGGTAGGTTGTCATGTTATTTAACTCTGTTATATTTCAAACTGTATAACCTTGTGTTTGTTACTATTTGAAAATTAACTAATTTTATTTTATTAATAAAACACCAGTTAATAGAGGAAATATCAATAAGGCTGTTCATAAATGTAGCAGTAAATTCTTTACAAATGATTAACAAATGGGGGTGATACTCCGGTGACTTTTACACCCATCTGTGTGACCTTGTGACCTTTGCCCCTATCCAGATGACCAGTGACAAGAAGAAATATGTTACTTGTCTACTTCGGAACTATAACAGATGGAAAAGCGATCAATACTACAGACCCCAAAATTTACAGTTTTGTGTTCTGTTGTTTTCTTTCTTCAGAAATGTCTGATAATTGTTACTTTTGTGTTTACAGAAGTTTAAATATTTGTATATTTCCTCAACAATGTCATGGTAACATGGCTTTTTGTCACGGTAAAATGACATTCAGCAATAAATCTTGATTTTCAAGAAAAAAAATCATCAACTTTTTCAAGATAATATCCATGAAAAGGTAATATTTCATTGGTGCAGAACATGAACTGTCAATTAAGTTGTGGAAATGACAAGGCTTTCATATTCAATTTCAACAGAAGTTTTTCTTTTTGCCTTTTTGAAATTTATTTCCCACTATGAAAGAAATGAATTTTATAAGACAAATTTTATTATTGCAGTTTAAAAATTTATGTTATCAAACTGAATATAAATGTTTACCAACATTAACATGGCCTACACATGGTGTAATAATCATTAAATCTATACATAATATATTGTGATAATCGATGTTTCCATACCTAGTAACCTTTCAAATACATCCTCTAAATACATCCTCTGTCCATAAGACAAGTCCAGAAACTTATTCATAAATGACATTTCACAATGATTTCATAGTTCAGAATGCTTTTAAATACGTGATGTCATGATAATTACCGGTATACATTTTCTGCGATTTTCCTATAGGTCCCTACTTCGGGTATTTCCGCAACATGTTTGTTCAATGGTCGTTAGGCACGTTGCTATTATAGCAAGGACAGGTGCATGAAAGTGGTCAGGTGAGAGGCTTTTTCATTCTAGCCGTGGACGTCAAAGCTGACGCACTAGCAAAATTTAAGTGATTTGTTTTGATTATTTTTTTGAATTTGATAACATTGGGTTAGAAATCCCAACACATAGAGCCGTAAGCCTAAAAGAGTTGGTGCACCTCCTGTATTTCCGAAAGGTTTTCAGGTTGGGTGGCTTGGCTCATTAGTGTTTATGTCATACTTTATAGGGTATACGTCATGTACGTCATGAAAGACAAGAGGCCCAAGGGCCTTAGCGGTCACCTGAGTTATACCATAGGTACTGGTAGCTTTATTTTATTGTTTAGATGTATGTGGAAATCAGCATGTAAACTAAGTGAAATACAATACTTGTCATGTCATCAATGGATAAGAATTTGAAAATATTGGTAAATGTTCCCTTT